CCTCTGTTTTTAATCTTTTCTTTTCTTTCTATCTATTACAGATTCCATGTCTTCCTCTTGTGTTGGTCACTATATAACACGCATGGTCTTTAAGGGAATGGCGAAGACTAGATTAAATCCAGATATTTAGTTTTGTTTGAAGTGTTGCTTTGACTGGACCAAAGCGACGCGGTTGCATAAAGGGGCTGGTTTTAATTCTCAGAATCAGGTCAGCGATCGGCCAGCAATCACACATGAATATGTTTGCGTGGAGACTCTCATATTCTGAGATGTCTGGTTTTAGGGTCTTCTTCAGCTTAGACTTGGGGTTCCTTTTGATGAAAAGCATCTCTGACAGATCATAATGTGTTTATGGTGCTAAAGCTTTACTCACTAGTCAACACTACAGAACAGGCCTTTTGGTTTGACGTCAACCTGAGATGAGACTGATTGTATGCATCTTATTTATTGGAAAGTCCTGATCGATTGGATTGACTTGATTAACAAAATTTGATATCTTGTATCAATATTAAAGTAATACCTTTGTCAACAAATTAACAGCCCCTTGGGACTGATAAAAAGAAACTGGGGTTGTCTGTCAATAAATCAATATTACATACAAAGCTTTTTGTTTAGTCGCCATTTTGTCTTATAAAGTATTAATTCACCCTTCCACCAATTAAAGCCTTAAAGGTTTTAATTCAGAGCAGAAAGTCTTAAATACAAATGGCATTAAAGGGATAGTTCACCCAAAAATGAAAATTTGATGTTTATCTGCTTACCCCCAGGGCATCCAAGATGTAGGTGACTGTTTCTTCGGTAGAACACAAACGAAGATTTTTAACACAAACCGTTGCAGTCTGTCAGTTTTATAATGAAGGTGAATGGGAATCACGGCTTTGAGAGTAAAAAAAAAAACATACACAAACAAAACCAAATTAAACCCTGCGGCTCGTGACGATACATTGATGTGTAAAGACACAACGTTCGGTCTGTGCAAGAAACTGAACACATTTATATCGTTTTTTACCTCTGATTCACGCAATGTCCGAACTGTTCGAACTGTCCTGAGCGGCGGCGTGTCCTCCTGAGCGCGTTCTCCACAGCTGGTGCGTGAGGCGTCGTCGTCGTCTTCTTCTTCTTCTTCTTGCTTTACGGCAGATCGCAGACTTACAAGTGCATTACCGCCACCTATCTCTCAAGTGGACCATTGACACTCCTAATTGAGATTGTAGATAGAGTGTCAATGGTCCATTTGAGAGATAGGTGGCGGTAATGCACTTATAAGTCTGCGATCCGCCGTAAAGCAAGAAGAAGACGCCTCACGCGCCTGCTGTTGAGAACGCGCTCAGGAGGACGCACCGCCGCTCAGGACAGTTCGGACATTGCATGAATCAGAGGTAAAAAAAACAATATAAATACTGTTCAGTTTCTTCACCAGACCGATCGTTTTGTGTCTTTACGCATCAGTGTATCGTCACGAGCCGCAGGGTTTAATTTGGTTTTGTTTGTGTATGTTTTTTTTACTCTCAAAGCCGTGATTCCCATTCACCTCCATTATAAGACTGACAGACTGCAACGGTTTGTGTTAAAAATCTTCATTGTGTTCTACTGAAGAAACAAAGTCACCTACATCTTAGATGCCCTGGGGGTAAGCAGATAAACATCAAATTACATTTTTGGGTGAACTATCCCTTTAAATGTTGCATACAGTCTTGTTTTCCAATTCAATATCCAAACATCCTTAAATCAAGATACATTTACTTGAGATGCAAATTGAAGATATGAAGTCTTGTTTTCTGAGAAACTGAACAAAATGAAGTGAGTTAATGCTACATTTTGGTAAATTTCACAGAAAATAAGCTTGTCAAGAAAACGTATGTAACTTTGCTTCTCAAGTATTTTGATTTAAGAATTTTTAGACTTAATATTTTGGACTCCATTAACTTTCGTTGTATGGACACACACACAAAAAAAAATCTTCTTTCAAAATATCTTCATTTGCGTCCCACTGAAGAAAGTAATTCATACAGGTTTGCAACAACATAAGAGTGAGTAAATGATGACAGACTGTTCATTTTCGGGTAACTATCCCTTTTAAGAAATTGAATGAATCTCACAAATCATGCTGTCTGACCTTCTGAACTTTGCAGAATAGGAGCACATTGTACCAAAATTTGTACTGTGATATTGTACTGTGACACCGATGTACACTCCTGCGGATGATTGATGTGCTGTTGATGTGGGAATCCAGAGAAGATCCTACCACAGAACGCATTGGTTTGCCTCCGTCACCACATGATAGAGGCCGCGTGCGACTGCGCTGCGTGTTTGTGTGTGTGTGTGTTACGTGGATTCAGATGGTGCAGGCACAGCTGTCTGGGTGTAATAAGACACACAGGTTGTCCTCATGTGGCCTTTGTTGTTTCTTTGGCATCTTTTAGCACTCATCTCTCCCTCGGTCTCGTCTCTCCGTCTCATCCGCACGCTCCACTTTTGCACTCATTTCACACACGCGCACGCCCTCTTTCAAACATAATTAAGCTTTTGTTCGGCAAATGGAAAGAGGAAAAAATTATGACTGGCTGAGCGATGGAAGGTAGGCTAACGGAAAGGAAGAGCAGGAGGTAGGGAGGAGAACAGTCAGAGTTTTTGTGGTGAATGCCCATGTTGTTCCTATTTTAAAGCCCTATGAGCCTAATGGTTGTGCAGACAGGCACTTTTGACACTCAGCTATTGTTCTGTGCACCATCATATCAGCCTGAATTTAGTTGTTTTTTTTTCTCTAGTCTGCTGTGACTCCATTGTTCCTGATAGGGTTGGGCCGATAGACGATGCCATCGTCCATCGCCGATGGCTGACGGACATCACGATGTTGAGCTGACATTGTGATTCCTGTTCCCCCCCACCACCCCCTCTCCCGCAATCCGCCGCATCCCAGTACCGTGTTTGGAAAGGAAATGAAGTGTACTACGGAAACCCTAAAGGGAATAAATAGCCTACGAGATGGGAGGATTAAAAAAAAAGATTTCATTACTTTTTCTCGCAATTATATCGTTGGGTTAGTATAGGCGACTGTATATAAATTACGGACATCAGGGAGCCGCTATTGAAACCGCTTTCGATTGCGCGCTCTCATTTTACTTTCACTTTCACTTTTGAGATTCGCGATCACAAGGACTCTATAATATGGAGCGGCAGTAGGCTACTTACCATACATTTGACAAGATTAGATGTTTGTCATTGGTGCTCAGGATCTGCAAATCATTCGCCATCGTCCTATCAGACATTTATACTTACTCTGTGTATGTGGTAAGTGATGTAGGCTACTGTAATGCAACAGGCTACCGCTAGCAAGCGGCTAACCTTTTAGTGGCTCCGTCGAACGCGTTGTTTTTAATGCTTCGGGCACCCCGCCCCACCCCCCAATGTCATCGTCCATCACGATGTTTCACTGTAGACATCGTCCAATGCCAATTTGATAGACATCACCCAACCCTAGTTCCTGACCCATTTTTAGACTTTTCATTCTATAAATCAGGGTTTTGTTTTTTGAAGTTAATTTTTTTTTACTCTTTTCTCAGTGATATTTAGATGAAGGTTACACTGTGAACATCCAAAAGAGCCATTGCTCGCTTCAAATCTAGACACAAACACAGATCAGTTGTAAACTTAAAGGGCGCATAACACAGTTACTGCCAATCTCATGTTAATCTTGAGTACCTATAGAATAGTATTGCATCTTTTATATCTGAAGAATCTTTAGTTTTATCAGAATTATAAAAGACAGATGCAGCTGTACCACCTCTCTCCAAAACCGTTGAGTTCCTGGAGGCGTGCTGTGGGCGGAGCTAAAGAGTCACGAGCATGTGCAGTTTTTGCGTAGCAATCATCTGCGAGCTGTGACATCGACATAAATAAAACAGGAACAAAAATTTTAATGACTTAAATATTTTATTTAATTTGTTTATAAAACATTTGCTTTTATCCAAAGCGACTTACAAATGAGGACAATAAAAGCAGTCAAAACTAACAAAAGAGCAACAATATATAAGTGCAAATGTCTCGTTTAATAAGTCTTAAGTTTCATAAGGTTAGGCTTATGAAACAGTGAAATGAAAATAGTGGAAAAAAATATTCCTCCATGGGTTATTTTCAAATTATTTATTAACTTTTTACTTGATGTTTTGCCACAACTGCTGACATACAATATACGTTATGTAGTGCTACTTAGTTAGTACTAGTTAATTACTAAACAAATATGATCTACATAGTAATTTGCATTTCAGAGAAAGAAAAAAAAAACAGTTGGCCAATTAGTTTAGTAGAATTTGATTTATTTTTATTTATTATTATTATTGTTGTTTTAATTATGCATGATGTTTTACTATAGTTAAATACAAAACAAATAAAAATTGCATTTCAGGAAAAAAAAACAATTGGCCAGTTAGTTTAGTAGAATTTCATTTTATTTTTAAACATTGTTGTACTATAGTTAAAAACAAAACAAATAAAATGCATGTAGTAATTTGCATTTCAGAAAAAAAACTGACCAGTTAGTTTAGTAGAATTTATTGTATTGTGTTGTATTATATTATATTGTATTTTTTATTTATTTATTAGTTTTTTGTTTTTCTCCAGTGTACCCTGACTGCATTGTTCCTGACCCATTTTTAGACTTTTTGAAATCAGTGTTTTTGCAGGAAGTCAAATGTTAGGGCTAATTTTAGCCTCCCTCCAGCACAATAAAACATATTTCAGTTGCTCTTTTTTACAGCACAACAAATTACACCAGCTAACCAGTGTGGTATCTGTCTCTTCCTCAGACGTCTAAGCTAAAGGGAATTGACTTTTCTCGTTTGAAATTAGGAGCTGCACTAAGAGACCTTGGCGTCTGATTGATCGGAGCTTGAACGGGATCAAAACGGATTTGTCAGTTGAGATGGTTCAAGACCTCAAGAGCACTTTTCTGCAGCTGCCCAAGTGTCCTGGCTAACGATGTGTGCATTTCTCTCTCCTAGGGCTGGTGTATGGCAGTCAGGTGGTGGTCCCCCCTAAGGTGAACGCTGTGTTGGGAAAGAACGTCACCCTCAGCTGCAGGGTGCAGGTGGACACGAACCTCAGCCTGACGCAGAGCTCATGGGAGAGGAAGCTGCCCACTGGATGGGGGACTCTGGCTGTGTATAACCCCATGTTTGGCATCTCCATCACGCCCGAATATGAGCGACGGCTATCCTTCCGTTCACCCTCTATGCACGATGCCACCATCGTGCTGGAAGACGTGGGTTTCGCTGACATCGGCATATACACCTGCAAGGTTGCCACCTTTCCGCTGGGTAACACTCAGGCCTCCACCACTGTCAGCGTGATAGGTAACGAGATGCCGTGTGTGTGTGTGTTTTTGCAGTCTGATTAATTTAGATTATGCATTCATGGTGCTTGTGTATTAATGCGAAAGTGCCGTGACGAGCCTTTCTCATGTGTGCGGTCGAAAAACAAAGAAAGGCGTGCGAGTGGATGCACATCACAGCTGCAGAATAAAGCGCTGCTTATTTGTGTAAGTAGGCAAGTATGCGGTGTGTGTGTGTGTGAGAGAGGGTGGAAAAACATTAAGAGCAACTTCAGGGCAGGAATGAAAGCAGTGTTTTGGGAGACAGTCCAGCTCTTTTAGAGAACATGGTGATGTTTAAACTCTCTTCCTCCACCAAACCCCCAGAGCCATCTGCTCTGCTAAACACGGATACAACCGAATGAAGCAGTGTGCTCTTGTTCTCTGGGTATACAAGAGACAACAAGAGAAGTTTACAAGCACAGTGCTTTATGTTAGGTATATCAATTATGTATCGCTCCATAGAGGCATGAGGAGAGTCGCTGTTTCCTCTGTGAGCTCAAGATGAAGGTTACACTGTGAACATCCTGGAAGTGTCATTGGCGGCTTCAAGAATAGACTTCAGCAACGGTGAAATGAAACTAAGATCCTGCTTTGTTTTCAACAGAAATCAGTTGGTATAAAAATTAAGCCTGCATTGGTTGTTTTAGAACAACAACATTTCTAAATTAATGTTAGTATTGCTACAACAATGTATAATTTATACAGTACTACAGTTATTTAAATACAAAATTCCAAAAAATCTGAGTAAAAAAAGGTTTCAATTTCTCATGGGCAGAAGTGCGCAAATATTCAGCATGACTGACAGTGTTATACTGTTTTTTTGTTTTTTTTTTAATTTTGTTTTTGTTTTTTTTTGCATATTGTTCAACATTTAGCCTGTTAGTTGTAATATAATGATAAATATTAAATATAAATGTTTATTTACATATGTTTATTTAACGTATTTCTGTGTTTAATATATAATTTAGTAATATAATATGTAAATAAATACTATATAAAGTATAGTAGCAATTATATTATTTTTATTATTATTATTACAACATATATAGCAAGTGTGTGTGTGTGTGTATATATGTAATTTTATTTATTTTTTATTAACATTTATTAACATCATTTAAAACCTCAGGCTTTGCTTGATTCTTTGAATGTCTTTGGGCCATAATTGTAAACCGTTATTAAACTGTAAATTGTCAGATGAAGCAATCTAGTTTTGACGTGTGACACACACTTATCGTGTAGATGCCGTGTTATAGTAATAAATGACATGCAGTTTGAGTGAAGGTTCATAAAACTCAAAAAGAGATGAATTGAAAAAGATGATGTCATAGATAAAATGAGCTGTGCAGTTGGAGGAAAATCGGAACGTGAAAGAGCAGAGACGAACAGGGACTGAGCGCTTTAATAAAAGGAGAGATGGAGGGCGGCGGGATGCAGGAGGGTGGAAAGTGGTGGTGAAGTGAGAGCGCAGGAACGAGGGAGGGGGAACACGCGCCAGAGCTATAATTAGATCAGGAGGAATGTTCAGGGTGGGTGTGTGTGTGCGCAGACGGGAGTGTATGAGTGTGGGAATGATGCCCGCTGCTTTTGGGATCCACTGCACTTAAGGGTCAAGGATGTCGTTGTGAGGTCCTGTTGAATTTTTGGTTTAAAGTGGCACACGAGAGTTGCCACACACACACGCAAACACAGACACTCATGACATTGTCACTTACCACACAACAGTGGATGATTGAAGGGACAACAACCACAGCTGCTCCTGTTGTCTCTGAAGGTCAACTGCCAATGCTAATACTTCACAAGATGGGATGAGAAAAAACTCACAGCAGGGAAAGAGAGAGGGAGAAACAAAGGCTAATCAATTGGTCTATTTGGTACACATCCTTTGACTTGACAAATGAATATTTATTATCAGAGGGGTATTGCCAACATCACCAAATATGTTGCACATTGTGACGCTAAATGATGCTATAGGTTTTCTCAGAACTAACTTGCATTTGTCATTACTTTCGGGGGTGGGGAAGTATGAATTCTTTTTTTATATAAAAAGTATTAAAACGTTTCACTAATAGTTAACAACCAGAAAGTGAGATGCATCATGGTTGTGATGACCTGCTGCTTCATTAATACAGGTGCATCTCAATAAATTAGAATGTCGTGGAAAAGGTCATTTATTTCAGTAATTCAACTCAAATTGTGAAACTCGTGTATTAAATCAATTCAATGCACACAGACTGAAGTAGTTTAAGTCTTTGGTTCTTTTAATTGTGATGATTTTGGCTCACATTTAACAAAAACCCACCAATTCAATTTATTGAGATGCACCTGTAAAATTTTAGGAAATTATATGCAGAAATGATCATGATGCACTGCTGTGTGTGTGTGTGTGTGTGTGTGTGATATTAATATTTTTATTTGGTAAGGATACAATAAATTGATCTAAATGAAAGATTTTTATAGTATTAGACAGATTTCAATTTCTATTCATCAGAGAATCCTGAAAATAATGCGTAATGGTTTCCACAAAAATATTAAGCATCACAGCTGTTTTCTACTGTGAGGATAATAATAAGCAATGTTTCTTGAGCACCAAATCAGCATATTAGAATGATTTCTGAAGGATCATGTAACACTGAAGACTGGAGTAATTATGCTGAAAATTCAGCTATGCCATAAATTACATTAAAAATATAGTATAATAGAAACAATCATTGTAATTTGTAATAATATAATATATAAAATAAGAATGAAATAATATTTCACAATATTACTGTTTTATTGTATTTTGATCAAATAAATGCAGGCTTTAAAACATTTTTTAAAAACGTACCGAACCCTTAACGTTTGAACGGTAGTGTATATCTATATATGGTTGAATTAGCCCTTCTTGATTTAGTGGACCTTTCTTGTCACAGGAGCCTGGGACAACGTTTCCATTCGTCTTCCACCGTTGATGGCAGTGGAAGGGGGAAGCACCTCACATGTAAAGTTTCTGTCAGCTGCTGCGGAGGCAAAGCTCAGTTTTCCAGGCCTGAACACTGCTAGATTCATAACGGCTCACACACGCCCGAGCCCCGCCCCTTCTGCCATCTAAACTGGATAAGCCATTAAAACAAATAGTTTTATCTTCTCTGGAAAAGCACTTGGTGCTCTCTGATGAGAAAGTGAGGCCACCCTCAGCCGGTATTTACCATAGAGGGGGGGGTTTTTTTCAGTCCGATAAGTCTTTTATTTCTTTTCAACGAAAATCTAATTTTTCTCTCAATCATTCTTATCAGTTTATTAATTTATTGGCTGCGGTACCAGAGAGATTCTTAATGCTTAGCTTTTATTTAACTTTGTACTCTTGTCTGAATGGATTTCCTTTAGCTCGGTTCGTTATCTTGATACATCTTTCTAGTAATAGTGCGAGTGTGTTTCCTCACATTAAAGCTCAGAATTAAACGCGAGCGATGTGGTATATTTAACTCAAAAATTGTCTCTCCCTGTCTTAGTGGAGCCAAAGGTATATGTCTCAGCTGGATCTTCTGCTCTGATCGATGGCGGCAATGAAACCACAGTGGCCACCTGTATTGCTGAGAGGGCTCGGCCCCCTGCCGACGTCTCCTGGGAGACGAATCTGTACGGCACATCTGAGGCCCACATGCAGGACGATGCCAATGGCACCACTACGACCCAGGTGCACTACACCTGGCAGCCCTCCCGTCACGCCCAGGGCCACACGTTAACATGTGTGGTCAAACACCCCGCTCTACAGAGCGACTTCAGGATACCCTATATCATCAACGTACAGTGTGAGTATCTGATAAGGGTTTTTTTATGTATATAAGAGTCTGATGCTGTTTATGCAGGATTCACATTTTATTTTATTTTTATTTTATTTTTTTAGAAATGCACAAATTTACCAGCCATTAATAATTCTTATTGCCATCTTCATATTTTATTTTTTTCTATAGAAATAGGGCGTAGAATAGAATAAAAATAAAATACAATACATAGTTTTTAGAGCACACTATTATGTGTTACTGTTTCACTACTGTTTCACTCTTCACTATGTTCACTTTTCACTGTTTAACTATTTTGAAAGAAGCTTGTGGAAATTGTTTTCTCATTAAAGTTTGCACAGAAAATGTTTAGATTTATTTTGTATGCATAGAAATTAAAAACTCATTTACATATATTTTATAAACTATATCAGTTTTTCTGTACTCATTCTTAGGAGTTTGTAATTTTATAAATTCTCCGTTTAATGTTTTGAAAATTGAAAATTTCACTGGAATGCATCCACATCCAGATGAAAGTGAAACCGGTTGAATCAGAATTATATCGAATTGAGATATTGTGAATCAGTCTGATCAAATCTGTATGGATAATCAGCCCGAGAAGCATGTCTTTTTTTTTTTTCTCTCATCATTATTAAAAAAAAAAATGTAAATGTGAGAATCAGAATCTGCTTTTTGCAATTTAAACCATGCAAGCGGCGCTTATCAGCCAATTGGCCACTAAACCTATTTACTTCCAAAAGCCTGAAAGCCTGTTTTTGTTTACTAACAAACCCAAAGTAGCTTCTCAATGAAGATTTCACAGTAACTTATATTTTGTTTTTTCTGTACCACGTCAAAGCAATCAGATTTATGTCCAGAGCTCACATCTGTTTTCCATATCACCGCAGTGCGGTATCTATCCACATGACATGATGTCTTGATGCTGTCTTGTGCATGATGGAGCTAAAAGCCCTTTCGCTAAGACACAATCCTTAGGATTTCATGGACTTATTGAATATAGGTATTGATGCTTCAGACAAATGATTTATCAGTGTTGTTTAACGATTTCTGAACACAGACTTCTACTAAGCACCATTGAGCAGTGAAAAAGGCATGTAAGTGTGTATCTGCGGTGGTGGCGAGTACGTAAGCGCAGATGTCTGCTGTATGAAATATAGATGTAGCGGTGAGGGGGAAGGCACAGGAAGTAGCAGGTATAGGGAGTATAAGGAGAGAGAGGTCACATCAGTCATGAGACTATGCTTCTGCGCTCAATGGGGGCTACAGTCACGGAAGCTCCTTTCTTTCATTTTCAATCCATCTTTTTTCATCTCATAGGGTCTACATGATATCTTAATTCAGCACACTCACTTAAAGAACTTTAAAGAGCTTTTTCTAAAGGCACAAATCAATACAGTGTCCATTGTCTTTGTAAGTGGTCTTATACTGCTGGTCAGACAAACAAAGTCCTAATGATGAATTTTGTTGCTTTATGATCAATTAGTGATAATAATGTTGTTGTGTTATAGATTGCTACTGCCTCAGCAAAAAATAAGGTAATTTCGACTTGCAAACTTAAAATTGCCACTTCATTTCTTCATTTCATGTTTCTTTATATCTAGAAGTTTCTTTATTTCTTTATATTTTCTTTATATCTACATATTTAGAGCAATTTGTAGTCACTTTGTTAGCTACAAAGTCACATTTATGATAAATAAAGTCTCAAATGAGAGACAATGTCGAAATTGCAAGATTGTGACTTTTTAAATCTTGTGACTTACTTAGTATTTCTCCTAACTGTGACTTTTTTTCTCTCAACTGCAACTTTTTCACAGCTTGATAGTATAGTTTAAACTTAATGCCACTTTTTCAAACAAAAAAAATTGTAGTTTTGTCTTTTAGTCCATGTATATTACCTTACATAAAAATTAACAAAATTAAACTTAGTTTAGTGTTAGTGTTGCTAAAACAAAGTATAATTTATACAGTACAGTTATTTAAATACCCAATAAATAATAAATATTTTCTATATAATTATTATATATTTAAATAATAAGATAGAGTGTGTGTGTGTACAGATGTACACATTTATATTGTTTTTGGGAGAATGGACCAAAAATATTAATGACTTATTCTGCACTACACAGGTTTTTTTTATCCAATCGGATGCTCTCTAGCATGAGACTGCCCCGCCCCCTAATACATAACACATGGCAGCTGGCAAATCAGCATGGCAGCTGGGGATTTATGGCTGTGACGTAACTTAAGCCTTTTAGGTCTTTAAAAATTGATATGTCCTGCCCAAACTTTCTGTTTCAATAGGAAATGCGTCAACACAGGACCAGAAAACTGCACTCATCATATCATTTCATAGGGCCTTTAACAAGGCATAGCCTAGCCTTACCTTTCTTAAACTACTCTGAATGATCCCTTTGTGCTTTGTGTGTGTGTGCAGTTGCTCCAGACATCCTGGTGCTGGGCTATGACGGCAACTGGTATGTGGGCAGGGAGAATGTGCAGCTGAAGTGTCGAGCCAAGGCCAACCCGCCTGCCCAGCACTTCAGATGGATCAGGTGTGTAACCACTACACTCACAATAGCCAGAGCGCACCATGTCTGGAATGGGATCAAGAGTGTTATTGCCTGTTTCCAGAACTCATCTCAAACAGCAGATTATCTGTACGATTCACAGCAACAATAGTTGCTTTCAAACTGTCAGTTTTCAATGCAAATGAACCAGTGGATGCCCAAACATTGTACTTATTCAAAGCAAATTAGTTTTCTGCCTCCAAACTGTTGTTCACTCATTTAGAAGATTGCACATCAATCATGTGAGCTTAAACATATAAACTATAACTATAAAATGACACGGTATGGGAATTATGAGCAAATCAAAGATGTTAAATCAAAACTTGTTCACATATATGCTAGGCACTTGTTAGCTTTGTTTCTTTCAATATCAGCTCCAGCTTATCCATTTCACTAAAACATTTCACTTCTTTTTGTCTACAAAACTCAATTTAAGAATTTTCAGCAATTAACCATTAAATTTCTTTAGTCTTTAAGATCTTTAATCAACTTTAAAATCATGAGAAACATGTTTTCAGCCAATCTTTCGACTGGTTCTAGATTTCTACTGCTACTGACATTTTCCATAGTGCCTGGGCAGACTTAAAGATCTTGCTGTTTGGAAAGTTTGATAAAGATGTGTTTGCATATTTTAGGTTGGATGGAGAGATGCCAGGTGGAGCGGAGGTGGTGAATAACTCGTTGGCGTTTATGAGACCCTTGCAGAAGAACGACTCTGGGGTTTACAGGTGTGAGGTGGCAAATGACATCGGACTGCACAGTCGAGACATTAGAATACGTGTTCAGGGTGAGTAAGAGACTTGAAACATGACACCCATCTTACCAAAGTTTAGCAGTTCATTTCCCATGTGAAGCTGGAGAAACAATGGTAAGAGATGACATCAAAACTTTACAAATGAAATTTATTTTAACACTCAAACACACTCAGTGTTGGTATGTTGAAATGTTGGCAAAAATCAGAAATGAATTTGACTACTCAGACTGGAAATGCCGTGTCCATTTTTTTTTCTTCTTTTTGTTTTTATGAACGGCAATATGAGTGAGTAAATTTTATTTTTGGGTGAACTATTTCTTCGAGCCCTACAGATCTTCTTGATGGTTTCTTCTTTTGAACCCACCTATCTCATCACTCAGAGTTGCATGGGTCCGGATCCATTCTTATGAGACACACAAGCTTATAATCATTTTCTTGAAAGGCATTGGCCCTCTATTTAAATTTAGGTCAGCTTTGGCTTTTTTTTTTAAGTTTTCATGGGTTTTTATTGGGTTTCATGAGTCATTATCTAATTGACCTCTGAGACAGGTGTTCGCTGTCACATTCCATGATGTTTATCTCCCATCATTTTTGTGTGAGCATTAAACATTGAATACTGCTGTTTAATAAGTTTATGTGATAGTTACTGTTACTCCCTCCCCCCCTCTCTCTTTATCTGTTGCTCTTTCTCCCTCCCTTGTGCGCACTTACATCTCTGAGACTGTCACGCTGTTATACAAGGGGAGAATAATAGAGCGGAAGCAACCTTGACTGAGAAGATGTCCTAGATTCATGAAACATTCACCAGCTCTTTTCAACTGCCATTAATTATGTATTTTCTTTTTAAATAATTTTTTTACACTCTTCCCTTGAGAAAGATTCCGCTTCTGTGTGCACGAAGCTGCGTGTTTCTGTGCGTGTGGTTGTTTTATGTCATAGTTGTCTGCCTTTATCTTCTAAGAGTCCCTTTTTGTGTCGTTTGAGTCGTGATGTTTCTTCTATAATGCCCACTGCTACTGTTTGTGTATTTATGGAGTGACTGGGCGTGAAAGTGTGTGTGCTGCTGTTAGTTGCTGATCTTTGTGCATGAGTATGGGTGGGCAGTACCTGTCCTGCATGTTAAACACCCTGCCGCTACCTGTGTGGTCACCAATCACCCCCCAAATACAAGCCCACACACTCCCTCCAAATGGACCATTTACACTCCCGGTTGATCCATAAAGTGAATGGAACAGGAATGGGGTACCACATACTGTACATGAATTGTGATAAATTTAGATTTGGTGGAGGCATAGAGAAGAGAAGCATGAGAGAGGGAGGGATTTCTGACCTTTCTGTGACTTGTCCTCTCTTTATGTCCTGTCCTCTTCCCTTCTGGACATTGACGTGCTGAGGCGAGAAGCTCTGCTGTTTATTGATTGAAACAAATTATTCTTCAACTTGCTGGGCGAAATTGAATAAATTAAAATAAATTGACACTATCCATGTCCTTGTTGTTTAAGGGGATAGTTCACACAAAAATTAAAATTCTGTCATTATTTACTCATCGTCATGTTGTTTCAAACCCATATGATTTTCTTTCTTCTGTAGATCAAAGATATTTTGAAGAATGTTCATGCAGGTCTTTTATTTTTCAAGTCCCCCCCCCCATTAAGGTTCTTGAATGAATCATTCATTTCAGACCTAGTTCATTGAAAAGAACAATCTCAGAAGAGAAATGTGTGCACTGATTCAGTTTTTTCAGTTCAACTCACTGACTCGTTGATTCTTGAGCAGTCACTATAAACTGTTGTGTGGAAAAGACCTGTGAATTTTCTTCAAAAATTCTCTCTTTTTTATTTCACTCAAAGAAATAACCATGTACAGGTCTGAAAAAGGGTGAGTAAATGGTGACAACCAGGCTGGTCTAGACCATGCTCTGCCCTTGAGATGTTAGGGTCGGCCTTGGTGATAACTTAAATTTTTGGGTGAACTATCCCTGTGGTTTTATATATGCAACAAATGTTTGTGCCAGGAATATCATGGGAGTGTGAAAAGTATTTTGGTCATTTTTGTATTAAAAATGTTGCCAAAACAATGAACAGGACGTTTCAGTTTTCCTGAACTACATAGCTGCTCTTTCCTACATACATATACATTCACTCACCAGACCCACAGATGCATCCAAATTACCTTTAACCTTGTGGGAACAATACCGTCCAAGAATGCTTTATGTATGCTACGTTTATTATTCATTCCAGCGAGGATGAGCAAATTATTCCCCACTTTAGCTGGAGCATTTGAACCGCGTAACCCTGAAGAGCTTGCAACCCTGACTCCTGAGAGTGAACGCACACGTTCTGCACTCAATGCATGCACAGACTTCACAGCCAGCCAAATAGCTCTCATTGCGCTGGGAACAGGACACTCCGTAATGGGATAGTTTGACTTTCAGCTTCCAGTCTCTGAGAACGCTGCTTGCATAGTCCAGATGCATGCCCCAGAATGCGATGAAACGCTACACGCTGCTCCCTAACACAGTCAAGCAATCAGTGCATGGTAATTGCGTTAACGCAATCTTCTGTCCTAGCACCAGTCAAGCCATGTTAGAAGTTAGGCGTAGCAGCCACCCAATCCTCAGGTATTCTCGATGTCTGTCCCTCTCCCCTCCCCCAGTAGCACATACCCTTTCCCTGACCCCTTCCTTCCATTTAGTTTGTTCTCATCACTCAGCTATGTGGTCATCCGTACTCCCTCTCTCAGCTAACACAAATGTTGCTCATTAGGTTTCATTGTTGCAGATGACTGTACTTCAGTGTTAGCTGGAGATGTTAGTATGTAGCTCCTCATGAATCCCTTATCATGAAGATCCCAACTCTCCTTTCTCTTCCATGTTTTTAGTCATCTTTGCTCTGGACAACAGTTTCAGGTTTTGAAGCCGTCGAAGGTTTGCAATCGCATCCTTTCAATAAAAGACCTGGAACTATTGCATCCACGGCAATAGAGGATAGTCCTGTTATTCATGCTATATGTCATGCTAGAAGATATTACAATCTTGGAAGCAGATTCATATGACTGTTAATGATATACTGATGTAGCTGGCATTGACATTATCTACTTTTCTTTGTCTGTCCATCCCTGCCTCCTGCCCCCCCCCTCTTGCCTCTCCCTCTTCCTTCCCTCCATTAGATCCTCCCTCAACCACCACCATGCCCCCCACCACCCCTGTGCGCCTCCTAACCGCCGACATCTCTGCCACCGTGCCTGGCAATAAGCAGCGAGCCCTCATCACGTCTCCAACCCTGGCGCCTCTGCCGGAGGGGAGCCTAGGCACGATTGTCGGTGGGGCAGTAGGCGGAGCCCTCTTCCTGCTGTTGCTGCTTGTTCTAGGCGGAGTTTATTACCAGCGTCAACGGCGGACGTTCCGCGGCGACTACTACACAAAGCAGTATCACGGCCCCTCGGATATGCAAAAGGCTCCCCAGCCCCATGAGCTGCAGCAAGTCTACAGCAAAGGAAGCCCTGACACCAAGCTCAAGTCCAACCAGGATAACGGCACCATCTACCCAGATAAGGATCGAGAAGAGTGGGGTGATTTCGACCGAGAGCGATCACCCAACAGTCGCAGCAGAGCTCTGAGGGAAGCAGGCGGTCAAATCAACAACCTTAATCATTACAACCATGAGCATGGCTACCACAGCAACCATCACCCCAGCCATCCGCAAAGCTTTAGTCCAGCCCATCATATCCAGAGTAGCTCGCTGCAGCCAGAGCCCCGCAGATACGCTGCTCCACAAGTCATGAGCAATGGCTCCCCCTTCCTGCCGGAGGACTGCTACGACAACGACTACGTGTCGCACACGGATGGCTCAATGATCTCCCGGAGGGAGTGGTATGTCTGAGAAGAACGAGCAGGAAGAGACTGCGCTCCTCATGAGTCCCTTATCATGAAGATCCCAACTCTCCTTTCTCTTCCATGTTTTGTCGTCTTTGCAGTGGACAACAGTTTCAGGTTTTGAAGCTGTCCGAAAGTTTACAGTCGCATTCTTTCAATAAAAGACCTTATCCCAAACCTGAAACTATTGCATCCACGGCAACAGAGGATAGTCCTGTTATTCATGCTATATATGTCATGCTAGATGATATTACAATCTTGGAAGCAGATTCATATGACTATTAATGATATACTGATGTAGCTGGCATTGACATTATCTACTTTTCTTTGTCTATCCATCCCTTCCTCCTGCCCCCTCCCTCTTGCCTCTCCTTCCTTCCCTCCATTAGATCCTCCCTCAACCACCACTATGCCCCCCACCACCCCTGTGCGCCTCCTAACCGCCGACATCTCTGCCACCGTGCCTGGCAATAAGCAGCGAGCCCTCATCACGTCTCCAACCCTGGCGCCTCTGCCGGAGGGGAGCCTAGGCACGATTGTCGGTGGGGCAGTAGGCGGAGCCCTCTTCCTGCTGTTGCTGCTTGTTCTAGGCGGAGTTTATTACCAGCGTCAACGGCGGACGTTCCGTGGCGACTACTACACAAAACAGTATCATGGCCCCTCGGATATGCAGAAGGCTCCCCAGCCCCATGAGCTGCAGCAAGTCTACAGCAAAGGAAGCCCTGACACCAAGCTCAAGTCCAACCAGGATAACGGCACCATCTACCCAGATAAGGATCGAGAAGAGTGGGGTGATTTCGACCGAGAGCGATCACCCAACAGTCGCAGCAGAGCTCTGAGGGAAGCAGGCGGTCAAATCAACAACCTTAATCATTACAACCATGAGCATGGCTACCACAGCAACCATCACCCCAGCCATCCGCAAAGCTTTAGTCCAGCCCATCATATCCAGAGTAGCTCGCTGCAGCCAGAGCCCCGCAGATACGCTGCTCCACAAGTCATGAGCAATGGCTCCCCCTTCCTGCCGGAGGACTGCTACGACAACGACTACGTGTCGCACACGGATGGCTCAATGATCTCCCGGAGGGAGTGGTATGTCTGAGAAGAACGAGCAGGAAGAGACTGCGTGGACACTTATGAAGTGCTTCAGACTGCAAAATGAGACTGGGATGATAAGAGTTATGTAAAGAAAATTAGTAGGAAATGCACCTTTTCTAGTAGTTTACACCTGCCAATTTGTTTTTGTACATTAGTCTAATCATTAGTTAGCTGTTCATAGTTAGCTGGTTTAATTGATGTTTTGGGACCAAGAGAGGGTGTAATTATTGTCTTCGTTTCTTAGATTGGTCAGGCAACAAGACATCTGCTTTGTTTCACCAATAAACCAGTTCAGGGTTGATTTCAGGGGTGATTTAAGTTGAGTTGTCTTTGCCAAATCAATAGCCAGTCTCCTTTTCCTTGCACAGTAAGATGAGCTGTGTGATTTATTTAAAAGAAAGAAAGCAGTTCGAACAAATGCAGTTTGTATTGAAATAACCTGTCGATAAGTGTTTCAGATCAGCCCTGTCGTGAGCGATGAGTTTCGATGAGTCACGTCAACTTTCAGTGCTGTCACTCTGATGGAGGCAGAAATGAGCTCCTGTCAACAGCCTGGCGGTTTCCATGGCAACATTTATTTCTTCACTACTGGCATTCAGAGTTGCTGTAGGGAGGAGCTAGACAGGGAGGACCGTGCTGGATTTGATAAAGCCCAATTGGCGAAAGCCAGACAGGATGATTGCCGAAATGGGGTGGCTGTAATTGTATCAATTCAGTTTCCATTTACATACCCCTGCGTCACTGTATTAGCTCTGGATTTCTTTTGTTTGTGCCATCAAAAATTTTGCCGCCGTGTGAGTCTGTCTGCAGAAGATGATTGGACAATGTACATTTAAAAACTACTGCCACTGTTCAACATGAAAGCTTGTCCTGTATTGATGTAGCTGTCTGGCTTGTCTTCGTCAGACCATCACTGCCCAGTGTTAACAACCTCCAACTGCATTCAGCGACTGTGCATTATGTCACAAATGGAGTCCTGTGCCTGTCTCTTGTGTTTCTGTGTTTGTCTGTAATATGTAAATCCAATCAGCTGGTGTTAACTGACAGTGTTTTGATGAATCGGCTCATTGCCTGTGCAATAGTGTTCAGATTTCTAGTGTCAGATCTCTCACATTCACGCACATAATTTAACGTAGAAGACGATAGCCTAACACACTCGTTATTGGTCATTAAACTTGTGTTGGCTGGATCTTTATAAGCTAGCAGATGTGTATGGTTGTTTTTTGAGATATTGGAGATGATATTGTAGTGCCTTAAACTGAAGATGTGCCCTGTAAGCATTATAATATGCATGCAGAAGTTACGAACGAGTGAGTATCATTTTCAGAAGAAGTATGCGAGTTGATTTGAGGCATAAAATGGTCAGGTCGGGTCCTGAGAACATCATTTTGTACTGTCCTTTGTTCACCACCTTGTTTTGTGTGCCAGTTTTATGGTTTGCTTTTTGTAGGTTTTCAGACAATAACTAATTGTTTTGCTCGCATTAAATGACGTGTGACACTTGAGTCACGGTGCACATCAACGAGTTATGATAAAGTAAAACTTAAAATGTACAGGTTTGGACAATGCAGAGGTGAAGAATTCAATGAAAACAAGATTGTATATATGCTGGCATTTAGGAGAACCTTGTTTTGTTTGTTAGTTTGTTTGAATTTATCATTCCTATAGGAAGCCTGAGATTCGACGGTGGAACGCACTAGAAAACCCACCATTACACAGATTTTGATGAGAGGATCGCACATACACTTCTTCAGAACATCTTTTACACTTCTTTGTTTTACAAAAGAGCTACTGTAAAAAAAAAAAAAAAAAAAGAAAATACAAAAATAATAATAAAAAAAATAGCAAAGAAGAAATGTATTTGCAATGTATAGATGATACTGAGCATTATTTTGTAAAATCAACCTTTGGGATACATTTGTTTTGAAATAAAGCACCTTTTTTTCTGTGACATGTTTCTTTGTTTTATAAGTTGGCCTCAGATCCATTTTCTGTTGGTTGGAGGGGTGAATGTTGAGGTCTTGGGTGTGACTGGTTGCTTCAGCTGCAGAAATGTTCCCTGTGAGGGTCTCCTCTATGCTCCTGGAGGTCTCCAGGGATGTATTCCTCACGCCCACTTTTCCTTTGCTGTGGTTAACCTACTTCATCTCCAAAGATCCATTCGTGCTCTAAACCTCATGCATATTTTGTGGGAAAGCCTGTGGCTGAAAGCTTCCTGTGGATGGGGGCTAAACTTCCTCTCAGACTTACCTAGGATAGCCCTAAAGTGGGATGGATTATGGACTTGTTGATTCTTGTGTTTGCACTGCTGTTCTGTCGATCTGTGTGAGAGGAGATGGGGGAGCTGGTTGACGAAGATCAAGCATAGCAGTGGGGCTAAATGGTGTTTGAGTGGTTTTTTTGCTGCGTAGTCGTTGGCGAGTCTGTCATCCTGTCCAATCAGCTGGTGGTGGGACAAGCTAGTAATTACAGTTGTCAGAAGTTCCACAATGAGTCAATGTCCAAAGTCAGCTCATAAAACTTGCCTATTTAATCCAAGACAAAGGAAATCAGAAGTAAAACGGGTATAGTAAAGCAGTGGTTCTCAAACTTTTTCATGCGTTGGACCACCTTGCACACCAAATCAGGGGAAAACAAGTGTCAGAATCACTACCTGTTGTTTTAAGTAATGTACAAATTATCCTTCATTTATACCTTTTATTTTGACATCGCATCAATTGTACTATAGGGATGCACTGGAATTAAAATTCTTTAATTATATTAATATTAGTCAGATATTATTATATTTACTTTATACTATTTTTATTACATTACAGAATTTTTTTGTTTAGTGTTTTACGGTTTCAATTGTGAAAATGAGGGGAAATGAGTATGCACAATTAAGTATATATTAGTAAAAAATTAAAAGAAATTAATTTTATTCAGCATTGACTTTATATTGGTCAAAAGTTGCAGTAAAGTCATTTACATCCATTTTTATTTAAAATACATACTGTTCTTTTGAACTTTATATTATCAAAGAGTCCTCAAACATTTTTTACAGTTCCCTAATTAATTAAGCAGAGTAACTGTTTTCAAAATTGATAATAACAAGAAATGTTTCTTGAGCAACAAATCAGCATATTAGAATGATTTCTGAAGTATCATGTGACACTAAAGACTGGAGTAATGATGCTGAAAATTCCGCTTTATCATCACAGGAATAAATTATATTTTAAATATAATAGAAAACAATCATTAAATCGTAATAATATTTCACAATATTTCTGTTTTACTGTATTTTTGATCAAATAAATCCAGCCTGGGTAAGCATAAACTTAAAAAAAAAAAAATTTAATGGTAGTGTACAGTATGTTAAAATCATTTAATTCAGAGTTGATTAATTCTATGCTGGTGCTTTTTCTTAAGTTTAATTGTATGTATGTATGTATGTATGTCCATTTTTATCAGCCAATCAACTTGTGAACCACTTGGTATCCTTCACAGGCCATCATTTTGAGATCCACTGCAATAAGCAGCACTGAAGCCTGTACTTCTGAACATTGCCATTAATTAGTTACCTCAGTGATAGGAAATGACACAAACATGCTCTTTATTCCTAGAGGATAGACAGAATAAAGACACTTTTCTTCCTTCAGGTATGTTATGTCCAGGTTACTGTATAATTCCATGGAAAGTGAGGTTAGCTCACTGAAAATAACAATGTCATTCATTATACGAGCAGTCGAACTATCACGGGTGAAGAGGTCACGGTCTCGCACTGCACTGTTTGAATAGATTCTCTAAGGAGCAGTATTACCTACCGCCCCCCTCCGTGCTCCATGAGTGCCTCTGATTGGTTAAATTAGTCCGGTAGAATGGTTTTGTTTGCCACAGCCCCCTTCCAGGCCATTGACACCGTCCCCATGGCAACAGACTCTTCCCAGGCTTCTGATAGCAAGCTTGTTCTCTTGAGGGATACCTGTGCCTCCTGTATCGCTCTCCATCAAAGAGAAAAAAGGGGGGTTACAGAGTGGATGAAAGAGAGCAATTCTGCAGGAAAAAAAAAACTGAGAAAATTGGTAATGGGGGGTAGTTTGAGACCGGAAGAAGGGAGGAGTCAAAGATGGACCAAGGTTAAAAAGGAGAACTGGGGGGACGATGCAACAAAAATGCATGCATGAAGGTGAAATATGACATCATAAATTATAATTTATTAATATATGACACTTTAAAAGGCTGTGGTCTGTCATTGTGACAGTTCTTCCTTTACTTTTCTTCCTGAGAGAATATTTCCTTTGGCAAATTTGTAATTTTGTGACTCTTTCTGCTTCTCAGATATCCGTCTTTTATGACATAATTTTCCACTAATACATCACAGTGGTCATGAAATCGTTCCCTCAATGGTAGGCTGTTATTAAATGTTCAGTGCTCCGTTATAGAGAGTCTCACATTTATCAGAACTAGAACACTGGAAAGTGTTACTGCACTTTATTATTTCACAGTCACAGATATACTAGGAGTGTACAAATATGTAACCAAATGTAGTGATATTAATTGGCCTCCAGCTGGTTCTCAAGATGTCATGTTAAAGGAACACTCCACTGTTTTTGAAAATAGGCTCATTTTCCAACCCCTAACCAAGAGGTCACGGTCTCGCACTGCACTGTTTGAATAGATTCTCTAAGGAGCAGTATTACCTACCGCCCCCCTCCGTGCTCCATGAGTGCCTCTGATTGGTTAAATTAGTCCGGTAGAATGGTTTTGTTTGCCACAGCCCCCTTCCAGGCCATTGACACCGTCCCCATGGCAACAGACTCTTCCCAGGCTTATGATAGAAAGCTTGTTCTCTTGAGGGATACCTGTGCCTCCTGTATCGCTCTCCATCAAAGAGAAAAAAGGGGGGTTACAGAGTGGATGAAAGAGAGCAATTCTGCAGGAAAAAAAAAACTGAGAAAATTGGTAATGGGGGGTAGTTTGAGACCGGAAGAAGGGAGGAGTCAAAGATGGACCAAGGTTAAAAAGGAGAACTGGGGGGACGATGCAACAAAAATGCATGCATGAAGGTGAAATATGACATCATAAATTATAATTTATTAATATATGACACTTTAAAAGGCTGTGGTCTGTCATTGTGACAGTTCTTCCTTTACTTTTCTTCCTGAGAGAATATTTCCTTTGGCAAATTTGTAATTTTGTGACTCTTTCTGCTTCTCAGATATCCGTCTTTTATGACATAATTTTCCACTAATACATCACAGTGGTCATGAAATCGTTCCCTCAATGGTAGGCTGTTATTAAATGTTCAGTGCTCCGTTATAGAGAGTCTCACATTTATCAGAACTAGAACACTGGAAAGTGTTACTGCACTTTATTATTTCACAGTCACAGATATACTAGGAGTGTACAAATATGTAACCAAATGTAGTGATATTAATTGGCCTCCAGCTGGTTCTCAAGATGTCATGTTAAAGGAACACTCCACTGTTTTTGAAAATAGGCTCATTTTCCAACTCCCCTAGAGTTAAACAGTTGAGTTTTACC